ACAAATTCAGTTAAGGAGCTCTTGTGGTGCTGGAACCCGAGTGGGAAGGGGAAATGTGTTTGGAAGTCTATCCCTGTTGCTCTGTTAGGGACTATATGGGCTCAGAACAATAGGAGACAGTTCTGTAAAAGAAGTAAAGAGGTGGATGAGTTAATTAATTTGGTTGTTGGTAAGCTTGTGTCTTGGGTTTCTAGTGTCAATGAATTCAAGCATCAAAGTGCTCCTCTACATCTGAACTCCAAGAGTTTGTGGGAGTTGTAAGTTGTTCTGTGCTACGCATTTTGACGGGCATTTTAACAGATTCCTTCGATTATGTGCTGATGATCTTTCAGTCGTGTTGTTGCTGCGGCTAATGGCACTTGATGTAACCGTTTTCGGTCACGTACCATTTTTTGTGATGTATAAATTTTTTGGCTAAGTACCTCGTTATTTGACCCGACGTGCCTTGGTGATGAGCTACTTGGTGGCAAACTGCCCAGTGGCGAGCTCCCAGGTGGAGAGCTACTTGGTGACAAACTGCCTAGTGGCGAACTGCTTGGTGGCGAACTGCTTGGTGGCGAACTCCCTGGTGGTGAACTGCCTGGTGGGGAACTCCCTAGTGGCGAACTGCCCGGTGGCGAACTACCTAGTGGACTCGTCACTTGACTTGCTCCTAGGCGGCCTGCAACTCAGAGGATGGTGGAGCTCCTTGGTGCAGCGCAACCCGACTACCCTCCGCGTGAGGTGATTTCCTCTCCTTTGTAGGCAGTGGGAGCTGAGGGACCTGCGAGAACTGAACTAGAGGACCCGGGGGTATTTTCCCGGCGGGGACTCTCCGATGCCTAAGTTAGCATTCTGATTACAGAGAGCTTGGAGAGAAATGAAAGAGCTAGAGAGCAGGGATTACCATCCTTTTTTCTCCTCCCCCTCCCCTTTGGGGGTGAGGTCTTTATATACCGGAGTCCTCGCGGGTTAGGTGGGTGAAAAGCCTCCAAACGGTAAGACTCATCACATCCCGTCAGAAATCGGGGTACGGTGGTGAACTCCTCGAGGTCGTCAGGCTGGTGCCTGTGTCCGGGCCAGGTTGCCAGGTCGGCGCTTGTGTTAGTCGGTGGGTCGGTGTCTGGGCCAGGTTGTTAGGTCGGCGCCTGTGTCCGGGCCAGGTTGCCAGGTCGGCGCCTGTGTCAGTCGGCGGATCGGTGTCTGGGCCAGGTT